ATCGACCATTTTAAGTGTAGTAATCTATTTAAATATTATTGATCATTAGATACCATTGAAAAATACATGTTAAGGAAATGATCCATTTTTTATTTCCAACAGAGCCTAGGAACCGATCAGGACCACTTTTCATCATCTTTCTTAGATAAGATTTGTTGATATATAAATAAGTATAAACAAGTTGTCAAGGATATATGTCTAATATTATTTAGTGGAGAAAAGAAAACCATCAGTTGTTAATAATGACATCGAATTATAAGTAACGCATGTGTACCAGCAAACACAGACGGAGGACCTAATAGCTTGGAACTCTGTATAGATAAGAAAACGTCGTCAACTTTTTTATTTTTCTGTACGTCGACAGAGATATTAGGAAATCAGTATGGCCCCCATTTCTATGAAATGTCTAACGTTTCGTCATTCTTTCTTAGTCGACGGTATAGAAAAACCAAAAAAATAAGTTGATGACGTTTTGTTATTTATACACAGTTCGACGTTATTATGTCCGTTATTTGTATTTGCTGGTATACATACGTTACTTACATTTTGTCGCCATTATTAACACTGACAGTCTTCTTTTCTCCACTTAATAACGTTAGATATATATCTTCGATAGCTCGTATTTATTTATATATCGCTAAATCTTACCTGCGAAAGATGATGAAAGCGGCGGTACTGACCAGTTTTCAGGCTCCATTGGAAATAAAACAAGTTCCAATACCTATTCCAAATGATGATGAAGTTCTTGTAAAACTGATCGCATGCGGTGTTTGTCATTCGGATTTGCATTTGGCTCACGGTGACTGGGACCTCAAACCTCCATTGCCACGAATTCTAGGACACGAAGGAGTCGGTGAAGTTGTTAAATTAGGTAAAAATGTGAATGATAATTATGAAATCAAATTGGGCGATATTATCGGCGTGCCATGGATTCGTTCGACATGTTCTCATTGTGAATATTGTTGTACGAGTCGTGAAACATTATGTGCGAAACAACTCAATTCTGGTTTCAGTGTTGAAGGATGTTTTGCGGAATATGCCATGTAAGTACAATAAGTTTTTAAAATAGAATGCAGCAAGGTAATTTTTGAATCATTTTCGACAATGGTAAAACAGGGAACTATAATCTGATACCCAGCACATAGATGCTGCCCAACAGGCACTTTTCCGCAGAGCAGACGAATATTAAAAAATGATTATTCCGTGGAAATGCTGTGAAATAAAAAGTAAAACCCACTAAGGCTTCGTATTTTCAGAACTGAATGGAGCACTTTGTCGTTTTTGTTTCAAGTTTTTAACTATTGCCGTTCACCAGTTTCCCTGAAAACACGGCTTTTCATTGTGTCAAATTACGACCCCCATTAAATTTCGTCCAGTCGAGTTAAAAGTTCTACCAGACGTACTCAAGGTCATATCGCAGAGGTATTTTTGAAGAAAGTTTTTTAAGACCTTTCTTGGTCGAGTTATAGGGAAACTACTGAAAAACGTCTCAAAAACCAAGTTTATCAATTTTAAAAAGCCTCTGACTCGTAAAGAAAGGTCTAAAATAATATTCCCTCAAAAATACCTCTGCAATAGTGTTTTAAGTACCTCTGTAAAATTTTTAACTTGATTGGATGAAATTTGGGGGGGGG